GGGAAAACCATAAGGCTGACTATGACCCTGGAGAAGTCCAGGAGCCCCACTATGACCCTGGAGAAGGCCATGATCCTCACTGTGGGCCTAGGGAACTTGAAAAATCTGTGTCAACTATTGATGACCTGCAAGAGTACTAAGACCCAGTGAAATACTGGGAAAGGCCCTGAACCCAAGGTCTACCCCAGTGAAGTCCTTGAACCCCACCGAGGATCTAATGAAGGCCTTTAGTCTCACAGAAACACTGGGTAAGAAATATGTGTCCCACCAAGATCCTGTGGGAAACCAAGCCTTACTGAAAATCTTGGGAAGGCCCTGAGTCCAGCGAAACTCTTGGCAAGGTTCTGATCCCCAGTGAGACCCGAGAGGAAGCCTTGAGCCTCAAGGAGAACTTATGGAAGGCCCTGAGCCTGACTGAGACCTTGGAGAATGTTCTGGGACTACTGTGATCCTGGGTAAAGCCCCGAGCCACACTGAGCCACTTGGAAAGGCCATGAGCTGCAGTGATGACCTGAGAAAACCCTGAGACCCCGTGAGAAACGGGGAAAGGCCCTGGACCCCATTCAGACCCCAGTGAAGGCCCTGAACACTGCTGAGAGTCCAGTGAGGGCCTTTAGCCTCACAGAAACGCTGGGAAAGGATTTCAGCCCCACCACGATCCTAGGGAAAACCCTGAACTTCTATGAGACCTTTGTGAATTCCCAGAACCCAGGAAGACCCTGCAAAAGGCTTTTAGGTCAACTGAGATATTGGGGAAGGCCCTGAGCAGCACTGTGAAAGGGGTTAACCTGAACCGTTCCCATCCTGGAGAAGACCCTGATCCTCACTGTGACTCTGGGAATGGCACTGAGCAACTCAGAACTTGGACAAGGCCCCTGAATTCACCAAGACCCTGGCATAGGCTTTGAACCCTCTGGGTCCTTGGGAAAGTTTCTGAACCCCACTGAGACTTTGGGAATAGCACTGAGCCCTACTGAGGTGCTGGGGAAAGTCCTGAGCACCCTGGGGAAGACACTGAGTCCCTCCGAGACCCTTGGGAAGAACCTCAGCCACACTGAGATTCTGGGGAATGTCTTAGTCTGACTGACACCTGAGCAACACTGAGAAACTGGGGGTTCCCTAAGCTTCACTAGATCTTAGGGTGGGCTGTGTGAGCCATTGAGAGGTCCTGTGTCCCAACAAGTCCTGGAAGAAGGACATGAGCCCTACTGAAGTTTGGGGGCATGCTGTGAACTCCATGAGACCCTGGTGAAGGCTCTTAGGCCTAGGGAGACCCTGGGAATTTCTGTAAGCCCCACCGAGTCCCTGGGTCAGGCTTTGAGCCCTATTGGACCCAGAGGAAGAGGTGAATCTCACTGAAAATCTGGAGAAGACCCTGAGCAACACTGAGAATTTGCAAATGGCTGAGACCCTCACTGAGACTCTGGGAAATGCTGCAGGCACCAGTGAGAAAATTGCATCAGTTTTGTGCTACTCTAAAGCACTTGGGAAGAACGTGAGTTTCACTGAGGCCCTTGGGATGGCCAGGAGTCACAGTGAGGGCCTCAGGAGGGTCTAAAACCAACTAAAACCCCATGGGAAGGGCAAGAGAACCACTGGGACCCTGGAGTAGGATGTAAACCCCATTGAGACCCTAGGAAAGCCCTGAGCCCCAGAGAGGCCTGGGAAAGGCTCTGAGTTCCACTGTGTGGAGAGCAGTCTGCACCTGCCCAGGTGACTCCATGGTGTGTAGAACAGCAGTCCTCAGGCTGTGCCTGCCCTGGTGACTCCATGGTGTGTAGGACAGCAGTCCTCAGGCTGTGCCTGCCCTAGTGACTCCATGGTGTGTAGGACAGCAGTCCTCAGGCTGTGCCTGCCCTGGTGACTCCATGGTGTGTAGGACAGCAGTCCTCAGGCTGTGCCTGCCCTGGTT